CTTGATGGGCAAAGTTTAGCTGAGAGCAAGCATCTCTTTTTAGAGTTTCACCACAACTCTGAGCTCCGTTTTCCATGCATTTAGGGATCAAGTATTTTAAACAGAAAGAAAAAAGAAATTTGAGTCTTCCTTTTATGCCTTCTACACCCTTAATTCCTGCTCTCCTTCTCCCCGCCCCCAACACACACACACACACTCACATACACACTCTCACACTCTCACACACACTCTCTCACACACACAGTCACCCACACTCACACACATATACTCACACACACACTCACATACACACACTCTCACACACACACTCACACTCTCTCTCTCTCACACACACACACACACACACACACACACACACAGAAAGCGACTTCTGTAAGTGGAAGCCCTGGGAGGTGGAATGACCTAGGACGGGGTAAGTCAGGGCCCGGAGACTCTCGGCTTCCCACTCTGCTCCGCGGCTGGTGGGCTCTTCTCCCATCTCTAGCTCAGCCGTGGGAGCAGGGGAGAGGTGGAGTCAATACTGGAACTTAAAGTAACCGACCTGGAACTCCGAAGACCTGCTGGGAAAGCTGTCCTGATGATCCCATAGATTCAGCCCATGGTCCTTGATGATCAGTTGGGAAGCAGCTTTCAGAACTTCAGAGGTTGGAGAAAGGGAGTTTGGGGCGTGGCTAGCAAAGAAGATTGCGACTGAACTAGTCGAGGCAACACTTCCCTCCCAAATTCCCATCAGTGCAGGGAACCAGATTTTAAAACACACAGTGGTTTTCCGGCTGATCCAGTGGGAGAAGAGGAGTGAGTCTGAGAGTTGATTATGGGACTAGTCTATTCTGATGAGGCTGATAATGAGACAGAAGATAATGACCTGTCCGCAGGAAGTCCCTGGCCATCTGAGGTGGTTTCCGTATCACCTTGGCTAGACCAGGTACCCAGATAATATGTCAAACATTATTCTAGATGTTACTGTAAAGAAGCACTTTTCAGATGAGATGAACGGTGAAGCCCCAGCAGACTTGGAGTGAGGAAGGCCACCCTCCTGTGACGTGTGCCTCCCCCCCGTTCGTAAGCCTTTCGTAGAGGAGCATCGATGTCCCCCAAAGCTGAGGGACTTCTGCTGGAAGCCCGCTTTATACACCAGGGCAGGTTCCCTGGGTGTCCAGCCTGATGGTCTGCCCTGCAGTTGTGAGCTTGTCAGACTTTTCCATTGTGAATGAGCCAAGTCCTTAAACCACCCGTTGTCTGTCTGTGTGTCTGTCTCTATCTACCTCCTTCCCGTCCCTCCTTCCTGCCCACCTACCCATCTCCTTTTGCTTCTGTCTCTGTGGAACCCTGACTCAAGTGCATCCTACGTCAGCTTGGAAACTTCCCTGGAGAGTGATTTATGACCTCTCCACCCTGACCCCACTCCAGCCACCCTCAGAGGCAAACCATGCTGACACCTCAGTCTCCCCTGGAGAAGAACACCAGGCGTTGTCAGTAGACAAGAAAGGACAGATTAAGCCGAACTTGAACTCCATCTGATAGACGTGAATTTTGAAGTGGAGTGTGTGATTTCTTAGTATGAGCTGATTTTAATGCCAGCCCCCCAGAGGAGGAGGGAAGGAGCGAGAAGGAGCAGTGGAGGAGAAATGAAATTATTAGAATGAACAATAGGTCTCTTAAAAAAATCTAAAACAGAAAACGGCATCCGTCCATGATGAATCAGTAGGTCAGCCAAGCCCTTTTCTAGTAAAATGATATTCAGTTGTAAGAAAAGCAACCACAAAGGGTTTTTTTTTCCCCTTTACTTACTCTCTCTCTCTCTCTCTCTCTCTCTCTGTTATGATTCGTACACAGAGTATTTCAAAGTCTTATTTAAACTTTCTATAGTGAATCATTCTCATGGAATGATTTCTTATAATAATAGTAAGTGCTTAATGTTGCTTAGCATTCAGTACTAAAGTTGCTCACTGTTATTATTAATAAATGCAGTTAAATATCACGATAAGGTAGACTTTCCGTGGGTTTGAGCATTTGATTGAGAGAAGGAAGGATACTGATTGCTGATATTCGTGGAAACATGTTAACAGTGATAACATCAGGGTGCAGAAGAGCATGGTACAAAAGGCCCTGAACTGGGCGCCCAGAGACCTGGTCCCAGTCCAAGCCATAACTACCCAGGGCATCTTAGCAAATTTTGTTACCTCCAAAGCCGGGCACCATTTTCTCCATAATGTCCAACATCGCTATGAGTATGAGGGGTTCCCTTCTGGGGGTGTGCTTGAAGCACAGAGGCTGCACCTGCATTGTGTGGTTTAGGAGGGTGCACTCAAGGAGGTGTGTAGAGGGATGTGTGGTGGAGCAGGTGAGAGTCAGGAGGACCTTGCAAGGTGGCCCAGGAGCCCTGGCAAGGAAGAAGCAGGGGACCTCTGGCTGACAGGGAGGCCCTCTGGGGAGGATGTGGAAAGCATGGCCCCGCAGTGTGCCGGTACTCGATGAGAGCTCACCCCCGCCCCAAGGCCACGCTGTCTCTGATGGCGGCGGGGAGGTGGGGGTGGCCGATCTGCAGAACCGGACGTTTTCCAAGGGCGTCCCAGCTCTCTCCGGAACACTGCCTGGAAGGGACGGGTCTTGCTCTCAAGAAACCCAGGGATCAACGGATGTCTCTCTGAGTCCTAGCTCAGCACTTGGCGCACGGCCAGCCTTCCCTAAATGACTGCTGTCTTGTGTTTGCTGTTATCTTTATGATTATTAAATGAGAGGAGGTGAAGGAAATTGCAGCCCTGGACAAGGACTCCGTGGATTTTTTCTGAATTACTCTAGAAAGGACTTTGTGAGCAGAGCGTGACCACAGGCCCGTGCAGCTCGGCAGGCTCGTCTGGATCAGCTGAACTGCGGTGGTAGTGGGGCCAGGAAACCTGAGACCAGAGGCTTGTAGAGCGGCTGTGGTGTGGGGGGCTGGGTTCCGCTGGCTCCAGATCACCAGCCCAGGAGTGGGGCAGGCTGTGTGCACCGTGAGCGAGGCGGTCAAGCCTTGAAGCCACATGGCCGCACTCAGGCACGTGTGTCACCAGACATAGAGGAAAAGAAGCTAAGTGTCCCCCTAGAGACAGGCTGAGCTTAGTGTTCTTGTCACTTATCTAAGACTTGTAGCCATCTCTTAAGTCACAGTCCCTACCCTTGAGAAGGTAGAGGCGCAGAGATCCTAAATGGGGGTCCCCAGCAGGGCTGAGGCCAGACCATCAGAGTTCCGGATCTCTGGCCTCCCCCCCACCATGTAACTGGGACTTGTCCCCAGAGATCCCCTGTGGAAGCGGTATTTATTCTGTGTGTCGCACTGTGGTCAGGCTGTCATCTTGGGAATGTGACTGGGGTTTTTGAAGTGTTCTGCTTTGTGGCCTGATGCGCCCCAGCACCTGTGTGAAATGATGCAGGCTGCCTGTTTTTCCCCCCTAGTACAGGGGATCGAACCCAGGGGTGCTTAACCACTGAGCCACATCCCCAGCCCTTTTTATTTTTTATTTTGAGACGGGGTCTTGCTAAGTTACTGAGAGTCTCGCTGTTGCCCAGGCTGGCCTCCAACTTGCCATCCTCCTGCCTCAGCCTCCTGAGCTGCTAGGCCCACGGTGTGCCGTAGCACCTGGCACAGGCCACAAACCACTCATGTCACCAGTAGAAGCAAGAAAGGGACATGAAGTACACACTCATAGCACACAGGTGTCCAACACCAAGAAGGCAAGTGTCCTGACTTACTGGATGGTGGCAGTCTTGTAAAGCGTTGGGTGCAGGGACCCCCCAGGAAACACTGCTCCTGCTTGTCTATACAGACTCACTCACTGTCACTCAAACCAGTTGTGTCAAAACTTGATCTGATGTTACAATATCTACTATGGTGCCGGTAATTTCTGGTTCTGTGTGTTACCAAAATGTAACTTAGCAGAAAAATGTTTTAGCTACATTGGTAAGACTTACATCCTTTTAAAAACAGAATTGAACTTAGATCTCCCTGTGTTTTTCATTTATTCTTGTTCAAGCATTACAAGAATTCATTGGAAAGAAAGTGTCCTTTAGCATTCTGTCATTTCAAACATACTCATCATTGATTACAAACATTCTCAGTTTCTAAAATCAGGTGATGCCAAACTTTCCAAAATATTACACTTGAAATTTTGGTCAACTCTGGACATCTCCATGATGTCTACGTATAAAATAAATAATAATCCTTGTCAAAAGTTTCAGTCATATTTATTCAGGAAAAAAACCTCATCTATGGTGGCTCCCCGTGTCTTGACATATTCAGAGTGACAGCCTCTGAGAGGAAGGCTGGGGTGTGAGTGTTCCAGCTGCCACCCTCCTTCCTGGGACAGTGAGAGTTTTAATATCTCATAAGTAAAAACAGCACTTTTTCTTATTGTGCAAAACCTGGATTTTGACATCAAGGTTCAGAGCAGCAGAGCTGCTGGTGAAGGTTCCGGAGACCCTCCTGCACTACCTCTCAGGGACTTCCTGCCACCTGTGCCACTTGGGTGGCACGAGTCACAGAGGTCACCTGAGCAACTTACCATAGTGTGGAATTCTACATTGAATCAAATTGAAATGAAAGGTAGTGCCAAGGTCCTGGTACCTTGCCAGAGTTCCTTCCTGGTGCATTATCTAGTCAATCCATTGCATCATTCAGAAGAATAAAGACCCGGCTTAGCACACAGGAAGCTTAACAGCAGCAAAAAGGAAATAGAAGATATGAAGACATATGCATGTGTGAGTCACATAGAATGTACATACCTAAAATGTACAATATGTGCTATAGAAAACTCAATGAGTTATTAAATATACACAATGATACCTACCTGATATACTTGAAATTATAAACCTTGTCAATTCAGATCTGGATTTTTTCTGATTTTTCAAAGTTATACATATGATATAATCTTGAATTTGTGGTAGAATTATGTAATAGGAAATACAAAAAATAGGTTTCCAGATTCACTCACAGCACGCTCACACGCCCAAAGAAAATAGAGCTGCTTCGGGTCCCCCAGCTGATTTCCTCCTCCTGCAGCCCCGTCCTGCTGGGCACACCAAGGAGCATTCACGGCTTAAAGGGTACCTTCCTTTGGGTTGAATCCAGTCGGGTTCAATGGGATATGCTACCTCGTCCAGAGGCAGTCCCGAGGTTTCCTGGGGGTGAGTCAGTCCCTTGGCGAAGGCTCAGACCTTCAGAATCTCTCTCCTCTCCCCTTAGGGGTTCCCGCGCTCTGTGGCCTCATGACGTGACGGGAGGCAGGGCATCCCTGGCCACCCTCCGACTGGTGTCCTCTGAGGTCTGCTGCCTTCTTCTGCCCTGGCCACCTTGCCTGGGCTGCGGCCTGGGGCTGGTGTGGCTGCTGCGCTCTCAGCCTGTGTGACCTCACGGCTTCTCCTGGTGGCGTGCTCCATAAGGTAGGCTCAGCCTGGCCTCGGTGCCACTCCCCTCCTGCCTAGGCAATGTGCCCGGGGGGGACAGCCGACACCATCGGCCTCCTGTGCGGCCTGCCTCCTGTCTGCAGGAGCTTCTCAGTGCTCTGTGTCGCTTGGGGCCCGCGGCAGGCAGCTCAAGAGTGATGCGAGCTCCGTCTCCGGGCCTGCCTGCTCAGGGGCCACCAGGCACCGTGAGCCAGTCCCTCCCTGTGGTACAGGGGAGTGGGTTGCAGCCCTTCTTTCTGGAATTTGGGCCGGACTTGGGGCTCTCCTCCCCTGCTCCCTTCCTCCACCCACACCCGCTCCCGACATCCTCCTGGATTCCGGCAGGTTGCTAAACACCCTCCCCTGCACCAACCCCAGAGCAGCTCACAGGGCAGGTCTTCCCACTGAAGAGGACAAGGTGCTCACAAAACTGTCTCAACTTTCAAAAGAAGCAGATTTTATTGCCTCAACCAAGAAAGTACTACTTTGATTTTGGTTTTTAGAAGCAGAGCAGTCAACTTTTAATTGGCTTTCCTGCACGCACGAGTCCCAACCACCCCACCCCAGTGCTGAGAAGCACAGGAACATGTTTTCAAAAGATGTAGCCCTGTGGCTGGTGTGAATGGGTCAGACCAGGGGTCTCCTGGGCCAGCAGAGGCGTGACGGTTATTCTGAAAGTTAGGAAGCCCTAAACCAGGGCCTTTCTGTTATGTCATGTACTCCATCCAGCACTTACGTGGCTGCATTGGGAGGAAATTCTGAAAATTCGACTTCTGTTTTTTTTTTACCTTATTTTATAGGATTATTTCCCTCTTTCATTTCCTGTTTTGGGTACCCTAAAATAGCCTGTGACCTAGATTAAACACCACCCACTCTATTTTGCCATAGATTTCTTGTAATTAAGAAAACTTCAGAAAATTCAACATTACTACGCTGCATTTGGGAGATGATCTCAGACGGATGCGAAATGAGATTGTAATTTTTTTCTTTTGACCTCAATATGAGACTTACAGTCAGACTCTGTACATGATTTTCTTATTCAAAATCCTCCAAAACTGTCTAAACAGAATGAATCTGTCAATTGATTATCCATACAACCTTTAAACTCAGGAACTTTTCAAAGAGTTTCACAAACTCCCTGAAATTATATGTAATATTATACATATATGTTTTTACAGGAGAAAGATCCATAGATTTCATTAACTTTGGTTTCCAAACATATTTGTTTACTTCTATGCTCCATGCCTAATAATAAAGTAACCAGTCAATTATTTGAGAACATTAAAAAGATTCCTACTTTGCAATGAAATAAGGTAAAAAGGGATCTGATTGTGGGTTAATTTTTTAACCTGCTGAAGGTGTGAAGCTGTAACTAATAAGCACCTCTCACTACAGACGTGAAGGCAGATGGAACCCCTGCCCTCCGCCGCCCCCTTCCTGGCACAGCCCCTTGGATCTGCCTGGCACTGTGCTCAGCCAAGCCCAGCTCGGCCCACTGCCCTGAGCTCTGCAGGTCAAGGCTTCCTGTCTTTGCACACGCTGCTTTTTGTTCACAACCCTGATGGCACCTCCTCCATCCTGCAGGCCTTCCTCTTCCTTGGCGGTGGTACCTGCCAGGCATGCTGTCCTGCAGTTATTTCCTTCCAGGTCCTCATCCCTGTTAACAGTGAATACCTTTCTACTCATCAGTATCCCCAGGACTGGGCACAGAGCCCCCAGATGATGGTGAACTAGGAAATCAAACAAGAGGGTTCCAGAGAGTCGCTAAGAGACAAAGCAGAGAGGGAGGTTGCCCACTTTGGACAAAGAGGCCTGGATTCACCATTATCGCCACAGAACTACCTGGACTGACAGTCCAGCTCCGCAGAGATCCTCACCATGCGCTGAGAGGAGGGGTGGGCTGGCAGCTCCGCCTGAGCCTGGCGCCCCTCCATGGGAGTCCTGGGGCACACCAGCGTCCTGAGCCGCCCCTGCCTTAGCCTGTGCCACAAGGGCACCTCCTTTATTTTAAGAAACAGGCTGGTGAAGACCAGGACCTGGACGGCTTGGCCAAGTGGGGCCTCCGGTGGTCCCCAACAAGCCAGGGCTGCAGCCTCCATGCAGAGCCCGTGTGCAGAGCACGTCACAGCCTCTGTCATCACGTTTGATCTCGGCTGGCCAGAGTTGTCACAGACATGAAGAGAACCACATCAACTTACATAGCCCAAGGTGAGGCCCGTGGACAAGCCCAGCCTGGAGAGCGGCCTTGGGAAGGCCAAGGCGACGGGGAGACCACAGGTGGGCAAGAGCTGGTGCTGCTCTGAAGGCAAGGAAGGTGTGGGACCGGACGCAGGAAAGGCAAACGTGTCCTTCCCTGCTGTGGCCCCTGACCCCATTCCTGCTCTCCCAAGGCAGCCACCACGCAGAGTTCCTGTGTGCTCTTCCAGAAGTGTTTGCACACACACACACACACACACACACAGGTCATATTAAAATATCACACACACGTCTACACAACTAGAAGCATGCATTATGTAAATACACATGTAGACATGAATTATAAGACAGTACATATGAAATCCGTGACCGCCTACCTATATGTGTGTATACACACGACACATCCTGTATAAACGTAGTCTACGTGTGCTGTGTGTATGGGGAGAGATACCCCAGGCAGCTGTCCTTTGTCGTCCAAGAAGGAATGATGGTGGGGCTCCCTGAAGGTGCAAAGTCAGCCGATGTCCAAGTCCCTTATATAAAATGGTGCGGTATTTGCTCCTGTATACTCCAGAGGGTCTCTAGGTCACTCTAATGCCTGAAGCTTGTAAAAGGCTGCCACATTATACTGTGTAAGGAACGGTGTCAGAAGAAGATGTCTGTACATGTTCAGCCAGATGCAGATTTCTTTCCAAACGTTTCTGGTCCATGGTTTTAGTCCACAGTCACAGTGCCCACAGATACAGCGGGCCAACTGTGTGTAAGGCCAACCATGCACCGAGCACTGTGCTTAACCAGGCCTTAGGGGAGGGGTTGGTGGCTGAGGCTGGTGACTGAAGGGAACAGCTGGTTCTGCAGTGAATTTCAGGGCTCAGGAGCCAGGGGTTTTGCTGGTGAGGAGGAGGGCTGGCTGCTTTCATGGGCAGGACCCCTGGTGGCTTGGTCCTTGCTGCCAGCTTGGTGGTGGCTCTCCCTGTGCAGCCACTCTCAGAGGCTGCTCTGCGATGGCAGCAAGGCTTGTGACCCTGGTCTCCAACGCTGACCAGCTGGAGCCTGTTGCACAGGGTGCCTCAGGGAGCCTGCCTGGCCTCCCTGCCTGGGACTGGAGGCCCCAGAGTTGGTGGCACATGCTGTGCAGACCTGAAGCTTGTGACCAGCACCTAACCCAATGTCTCCCCTGCAGAGTCCACAGCACCCATGTGGCAGATGGCCCAGTGGCTGCCCCTCTCCCTCGACACGATGCCAAGAGCGTCTTCTGGGTGCCATGTGGAAGTGTACCTTGCTCTTCAGTATCTGTTTCCTCTTCGACTCTCAAGGTACTTTTGAACTGTGCAGGGGAAGCCTGCCATTTGGTGATTTTTATGTGCAGCACCTGGGGTCCCTGGGGTCCCTGGGGTCACTGGGGTGACTGGTGTTCACTCTCTGTTCAACGTGAACTATTTGATGCTCCCCACATCCTCGCCTTTTCTCCATTACCACATAAAACTCTTCTTCCTTGAAATGGGCGTAACATTCAGATAACTAACATATTTGGAAGACTCGTTTTTTTTTTTTTTTTTTTAATGGAGCATTTAGACTTTTGAAGTTTAGTCAGTCAAGTGCCAGGACCTAATCAAATTTCTTATAATGGCACCTAGAGTTTTGTGATATAACTTGCCCACCCAAAACCCAGAGCTGGTTTCCCACTGGGGTCCCTACGCATGGGGACGACACATGACTTCCTGAGCCCTCCTAGCTTTCCTCGGCCTCTGCCTGTCCAGGGACGCCCTGGCTTCCTCCCTGCTCACCCGACGCGGTCCCCATCTACGCCTGGCTTTCCTCTACACCTGGCTGGGCCCCTGTCCCTTGGGGCCGTCACCTCCTGGCTCTCAGCCCCCCTCTTCTGGAGTCTCCTCTACCTGAGCCCACCCAGGACGGTGCTCTGAGTGTTGTTTCTGTCCTACCTCTGAGCCAAAGCTGGGGGTTGGGCTGTGTGGACGGGGG